GGGGGGGGGGGGGGGGGGGTGGGGCTTGGAGAGCCAGCTTAGCTGGGAGTCTGTTTGCTTGGAAGTGGGTGGCTGAGGTTGCACTGTATTTACACTGCATCTGGAGGAGGTACAGCAGGGGTGTCAGAGACAGAAAATAAGTTAAATCAAACACAAACTGGGTTTAGATATATAACTCGCATCGAAACAGCAATTCTCATACATCAAAAAAAAAATTAGTTGCCTTCCAAAGAAACCTTTTCACAAAGGTCTTAAAACAAGATTACATAATAGCATAAAAATAATCGTGCTGCGGCTTTGGGCGGCTCGATTCCTCGGCACCCGGCTCCCCTCGTCGTATCATGAAGCCGCACATACGCAGAGCAGGAAGAGGACATTAGGAACCTGATGGCAGCTAACCAGTGATAAGAGCGCTAATGCGGCTACAGGCCCCGCGCGTCGGGGATGGAGGGGCCCTCCGCACTGCGGGCCTCCCATCCCCGCGGCTCCACACTCCGGGCCAAGAGCCACGGAAGGCCGGTCCGTCTTTTGTGTGAAAGTAGGGACGGACTGATATGCACGAACGCCAGCGGAGGAAACGGGACATGCTTTCCTTTGGGCCCAGAGGGCGAGGCAGCGAGATGAAAAGCAGGGCATTTAGGACACAGAGAACACAGAAGATCAGACCAGCCATTAGAGTCTGCAGAGAATCTGTCACTGCAGATAGCACAGGCGTGACTGACTGACTGACTGACTGAATGAATGAATGAAACAGATTTAAATACGTGCACATGTACACCATTTTAGCAGAGCCAGGACACATAAAGGAGATTACCTAAATACCGGAAGCAGAAAAAACCTTACTAGTCTACCCTGTTAGCTTGTTGTATGTAGCAATGCTGGTCAAATCTACCAGCCAGTACAAACGTAAATCAAAAATGATCAACTAGAACTGGTTCTGCAGCACAAAACCATCATATGTAGTCATATGGAGAAGCTGGGTAGCAGGTGGCAGGGGTCGGAAGCTGCAGGTTCAAGTCCCCAGGGTGACAGATAGGGGGAGCTCCAGCACCTTTAATCAAATTTGTTAATTTCAACCGTGGCAACAAAGCATTCTTGTGTATTATGTGGCAGCACGTGTCACTCAAGAGCAGAACATCTGCCCAGCAACTGAATAACAGAATAACTGAATAAGGATGTGCTACGTAATAAGCATGGAGGGAGCGCAGCAGAGGAGGCTGCTGATGGCCGCGATCTGCTGGTAGACTCACTCAAGCCTGTTTAAACACCCACCCCTCTGGGGGCCAGTGCTGCAACAGCCAGATAGCCACACAACAGTGCTGGGAGAGAGCGAGGGAGGGAGAGAGGGGGAGAATGGGGGGAAAAAAGTAAAGAAAAAGTCTTGCTTTAGGCTGTGTGCGCTTTAACAATCCCCCAGAAAAGATTTTTTTTAGCTCTATGAGAGAAAAAAAGTGAAGCATACACATTCCAGAAGAAGTGCTGTTTTCACACGAACAGGAAGGTCTGGTTTGTTCCGCTGGGGGGTTCCCAGACACCAATGGGCCCCTAGACGCTTAGCAAGAGAGCAGGGGAATTAATACCGCATAATTAATAATGAACGTGCGCCCATCTCACCTGCCACCCGCAGCAAGCCAGCCAGGTCCAGCAGCAGCGAGGCTTGTTTGTAGGCCGTGGGGCACTGGGCGATGCACTCCTGGATGACAGTCAGCCGGTCGGACCGCAGGCGGACTGGACAGGGAGGGGTGGAGGTCAGGCTCCCCACGGGGGCGGAACGCGCCGCTCACGCCCTTCCCCAGGCCGGGCAGGCCGCCAACCCCCCCCCGGGCATGTTTACACATAGAACCATAATGATATTTATACTGCATCAGTGTGCAACTCTTCCCTGGAAAACTGTCAGGAATACCTCAGGGACGATGCAGCAAATTACGGCACAATCAGTCATTATCGGGGCGCGTCAAAAGCTATTGTTTTAAATAAATAAACAAATAAACGGAGATACCTCCCCTCCCCAAAAAAAGCATTTATAAAAAGTGTAGAGTCTGCAGTTTCCTACATTAGAATACGCTCTGTATTAAACAAGCCGCAGCTCCCGCTCCATCGCCATTTGGGACTCGAGGTCTGTTATATTGTTTCAAACACCTAATCTCGCAAAGCCATCTGTTACCCAGCGACTGCTGATTTGTCATGGGGGGGGGGCGGGGGGGGGGTATATTACACTTCTCAGGCATTTCCAGCGTGGGCCTTTGGTTGAATACTCACTGGCGGTATTCTGGCATCGGACATTTACAGAATCATCCCAAGGTGGCGGTGGGGGGGGGGGGTATTTCTGACATGCCCTATCTGCCCTCTCCCTCATAACACCCAGGAGGTTGAAGGCTGGTGGGACACTTCAAATTTATCCATTATCGTGTTTACAGAGGCCGGGTTGGAGTGGAGGGTCATCCTGTTCCATCAGGGATAAGAAGATTGGCGCTTTTTGAGGCTCATGGTCCTCCAGACGGCTGCTGGCAGCCAAATGCCATTTACACATGCCTCATAACTCACACTGGCGCCAGTCAGCCCATTAGGTGGCATGGAGGGCAGGCGGTGAAGCTAGCCTAGGATGCCACATGAGCTTCCATCAGCACCGACACAGAATAGGCACGTCAATCATCTACAGGGTGCTAACAAGGTTGGCGAAAACAGGTAAGGTTCTTGGATAGAGATGCTGCTATTGCTGCGTGCAGCCATGCCAGGTTATTCCGTCAAATGTGCCTGCTGCTCCGAGCTGGTTCCAGGGGGATGAACCAGGGAGCCCAAGGATTTCAACGAGGAGGCGGCTACCCAGAGCACAGCTTCTGCTATTAAGGTGAATTAACACAGAAAATCCGGCGAAAGCCCAGAACGGACTGAAACGCAGAGTCACGCTCTGCACTTGTAAGCGTGACTCTCACGAGTCGATAGTGGAAAAGACAGATGCTAACCTCCTGTCATTCTTGGACAGTTATACTGGGCTTCAGTATTAGCAAGGATTGAGTTTTCATGTAAACATGCAGACTGACAAGGAGCTTTTCTGGCAGTGCAATGCAAACGCTAAGATTGCCGATGCAGCATGCAGAGATTCCAGTAGCGACCCCAACTCTAACAACGCAGGCGTTAACCTGCAGGCTATACAACAGTAATGGAAGAAAGCCATTTCAGATACAGGCGTTTGCAGGGATCCATGAGCACCGTCACGAGAGGAAGCAGAAAGCCCCAAGACGAAACTGGCAAGGGACCGTCCGTCTGATGTGCGGATCTCCAGGTGACTCTGAATTTGATGGTGCTCATTCTGAAATAGCTACTATAATCCTCTCGATTGCCCTATGCTAGGAGCAAGCCGGGCTGAAGATTAACCATACCTCAAGGCTGGAAATTGAGGCAATTAATTTTACTTCCAGTTCCCCGCCGGACATACACGATGACTAACTCTCAGCATACTCTACTCAGCTTTTCACTAGTAAAATGCATCATTCTGAAGTGTGATGACAGGAAGAGTAGAATTCAGCTCCCCGACATCGCGAAACCCCTCTGTCTACATCAACACCGTTCCTTGCCCCAAACTCCAACAAATCAAGGTCAACTCTCGGCATACCTTGCAAGGGGAGTATTTTCACATCAAAGTCCTCCAGCTGGCTGAGGGCTCTGATCAAGTCCAACTCTTCCTGGATGAGAGGCGGGCAATCACTGATCAGCTGTAAACAGGCCCTAGATGAATGAGCAAAAAAACAAAACATTTTCAAATCAGTGTTGTTAAGCACACTCTTGCCATTTCAGGTTAGCCGTTAGCTACAGAGAGACTAACATATTTTTGACTAATGACCCAGTCATTTGACTAATGACACCCTCCTGTGTGACCAGGGGGGGGTGGAGTGTGGCTCAGTGGGTTAGTCTGCTGATTCATTGACTAGAAGGTTGCAAGTTCAAATCTCATGGTCGATAGAGTGATTTCACTGTTGGGTCCTTGAGCAAGGCCCTTAAGCCTAATTGTGTCTGACCCCACTTCTTCAATTATACATTGCTTTGGATCCGCTAGTTTATAGCTCATTGCTAAATAAATCAAGGTAAATGACCACCTCATAGGCTGATTACAGCTGGGAACTCTACTTTGAGTCCTCCCAGACACTGGGTGTCACTCTTTGCCTCATGAGACGATTACACCCACAGAGTGAGGAGGTCTAAACGATGACGTTAAAAATAAAATTCCCATTGTCTGTCCATTGTGTTCAACAAAGACTGCAAGGCAATACAGTACCCAGTACCCAATACGTGAGCCTCCATGGCTAAATCTTAGAGACCTATCACTTGTGTTTGAGATCAGCTGCCAGATTTGGCATGGTTTAACAAGGTTTACCACTGACCGTTCGTTCATAATGCAAAACAAGTTACTGTCAAAGCCCGTCGCACAAACAGTGCAAACTTCACATCCGATTTCATTCAGCACAGCTCACAAGGGTCATCCACTTGTATTTTACATGCAAGCACACAAATACTGAATTTGTTATAATGTTGTTTACAATAAATACAATAGCGAGAAGGAAGCGATAATAAATTGCTCAGGTAGACTTTGGGGACTTCGCTATAGGCGGGGAAAGGAGAGACGAACAACCAGAAACCTTAACTGTTCCAAATTTAAATTGGCAGGCTGTCACCAAAAGGGGGGGGCTGTGATTCCTATCAAAGGAGGAATAAAACAGCAAAAGCAAAAGAATCAAGGAAAAAGTGGAGGCTGTTTGCGAACCGAAGGGAAAGATATGCACTTACAATTCATTTCACACCCTAGCCGGGGGATTGATGTGCACTTACTCGTTAAAATGGATTTGT